AACTTTAAAAAAGGATTCAAAATTTAGTTTTTTCTATATCAAAAGTTAACATATTTTAAGGAGTACTATTTAGGCAATTCATGTGACATATAAATATTAATACTGTACATACGTGTGAGTAGTAATGAAAGTTAGTGTGCGTAATCCGTTATCGTTTCCGAGAATCGCTGCACGTCGAGTTGGGTAACAGCACAGGAAACAACTCTCACACGCACACGCAAATGCCAATACATCGCGAAAAATGAAATAAATTCTTGTTTGCATGACTATAAAACTACTAAAAGCGGTAGTAGATTTATCATACTTCCCGAAGTTCGATTGTAAATTTGAAAAAATGATTGAATTTATAAACTTCTAGACTATGCTTTACGTCGAGTTGAGTAACAGCGCAGGAAGCAACTCTCACACGCACACGCAAATGTCAATACATCGCGAAAAATGAAATAAATTCTTGTTTGCATGACTATAAAACTACTAAAAGCGGTAGTAAATTTATCATACTTCCCGAAGTTCGAAAGTAATTTTGAAAAAATGATTGAATTTATAAACTTCTAGACTATGCTTCTTAGGAAACACTTTTTTCCAAGATAAATACCAATGTAATGCGATTATTTCATGGGATTTCTAAAAAAAAAATTGTTATTTTAAGGTAGGTAATTTTAAATTGAAAATTGAAAATCGACTTCCTAAGATACCTAAATATTTTATCAATGAATTTAAACATGTATAAAAAATTTAAATAGGACATTCCAAAGTATGTATAATTTACCACTTATTGGTCTAAAACGTATGAAAAATGGCTGCAGCCCCCTTAAATTAAAAACAAATCAATTTTCAAATAAGTATTGCCTATTAAAAATTAAAATATCCATCGATATTATTTTTTATTATTTTTCATAATACAAGATATTTATGACCTTAAGAAAACGTCGCACTTAAAAATACATTGCTACCACCGAGTGTTACACCCAAAAGCTGAAGTTGATCTATCACAAAAACCTAGCAATAGCAAAGTTATAATAAAGAACAATATTGTAAGACGACTTACTCTGAAACACTTATAAACGTATAAATTGTTATTATTTTTAGAAATTCTACATTAGTTATTGCGAATTGCGATTTGCGATTCTATAATAATTGAACTCAGGTAGGTTCCGGGCTTGTTATAGATTACCTACATGGAAATTAGAATTTGGATTTTTCGAATTTGTTATATGATAATTCTGTTATACAAATAATAATATTCTTATTTCTTAGTATTGATAAACTTTTATAGGTCTATTATTTTATAATCATATGTTATTACTAATAAGTAGGTAGTGATAACTAACTTTAAAAATATATAATTATACCTACCACTATAGATAAAATATCTATTGGATTTTAGAACAGAAAAAAACCAAAATAACCTCTAGGTACATCAAAATATAGGTTTCGGTTTCGGTTCGGGTTTCTAACAAAATGTATTTAAACGTTTTGGTCCCTAGATTTTCAAAAGGTTTCGGTTCAAAACCGGTCAATTTCGGTACGGTTCCAGTCGCTGGTTTGATCAGGTGTTGTTTGACATTTTTTTAAAACTGCTTAGAAAAGCCCTAATATAACTGTAAAATTGGGAAAAACTGTCACATGTCGAACACTGGACCATATCCTCATTAGAGTGTAAGTTTTTCAAGAAATATTGCACAATTTTTAGTCATTGTTGAACGGAAAGGTTATATAATTTAAAACACAGATACCTACTTAAACTTAACGCACTGTCGTAGAACGACGAGTTGAAAACGATGACTTGCACCCGTGACGTCCAGATAAGAATTGAATTTATCTAAAAATATGTTCTTACCAGTGGCGTATATAGGGGCATAGTGGGCTGCAGCCCCCCCCCCCCTCCCCCCGAAATTACGGTCTTTTTGAATAGAACAACAATATATTTTAACAGATTCTATTATAAATTATAATATTTCATAGCCCGTTGAAAAATAACAAATACGAATATATTTATGGAAACTATTAAATACCTATATAGTAGACAGTAGCCCCTAAGTAACAGAACACTTGCTAGTTTCTATCAGTAGATAGAAAATTATTTCTATATACGCCACTGGTTCTTACACAGTTATCCCATCTAAGTTTTACACGATTCTATTTTCAATTTTTCTGTACATCATTGACATTGTATGGACCACTGTAATGGATGTGTTAAATTTGAATTGTTATCAACTAATAGATACCGAAAAAAAAACCAAAATATATTAAAACATTTTAAATGTCTATACTATGTATGAATAGTTAAAAGAAAACTAACATTTCTAGAAAACGCTAATGTTACTATTCAATTCAAATTTGAAACCCTCGCTTTAAATATTAATTAAAGAAGAATAAAAAACAACATTTAAATAATTAATTGTTCAATATATCGTTAAAAGCTTTGCAAATAGATTGCAATGTAATTCAAGTCCATCTTACAATAAATATTTTAATCGTAGTAGACGGTTATTACAATTAACAAGAAACAAGTAACTACATATAGTGGCGCCAAAGTACAAAATTTAATTTATGGCCAGGATCTCCGACAACCACCCACCCCACCCCACAAAACCCACTAGGAAAATTTAAAAATTAACATCTCACAAATAATTTGCCACCCACTTTTATTTTCTTTTTGAAGATTTCTCTTCTTTTTTCAATTAACACGTATGTAATAATATTAAAATTATATTTATTTACCTGCAACGGCTGCAACGATAGTGCAAAATACAAAAATATAAACAAAATGCAACCTTTTATATTATATTATAATATTACTCTCAATGGGCAATATTACTTAATAATTTATGATCCTATTCCTATTAATTTTCATAATTTTATTCTCCTATAGACCCACCCCTCAGCCAAATGTTTATATGTATGGCAGCTGCCATACATAAACATGGACTTCGGCGTCACTGCCTACATATTACAACTATAAAAAATTATTTTTTATGACTCTTGCTTTAATTAATTATTTCTTATTTTTAATAGTTTCTTAAATGACAATATTAGAAGAAAAAAATACATATTCTAGACATAATACTTCTTGTAGTACACTCATCTACCAACTATAAAAAAAAGCATAGTATATTTATTGTTAATAATATGGAGTAGGTATATAGTTTTTTAGAAACTCAGAATGCTTCAAAAACTATCGTATAGGTACCTAAAGTAGTAAAGCGACTATAATTTATAGGTATCAGGGTATACCATTATCATGGATAATAATTAACAAATAATACTTCAAAATATATTGAATTTCCTAGTTTTTTTTTAATTTATTGACCAGAAAATAATATCATACAAAATACAAGGAATGTGCAAAAAATTAAAATAAGTTGATATATTGATGCAATATTTTTGATATATTCAACATTAATGAAGTTTGTGCATCCTAACCTATAGGATCCCTTTCCGTGTCTAACACCAGTCGATAATATTTAAAAATAAAAATTATATTGTATTTTGCAAAGATGGGGGTATATTCCATATTTACATCAGCAATAACTAAATTATTATGAATTATAAAGGTTGAAATTTCAGTTTTCAGTACATTGTGTATAAATGTACTCACTCGCACAAATATTATGCATATTTTTTGATCAGCAAAATTTGATTTAATTTTTTAACAATACTAAATTAATTCTAAATGCTTCAGCTATCAATTACTATCAAAGAACAAAACAATTTAAATAATCACTGGTTATAATATTCTAAATAATATTAAACAATGTTTATTCAATGTTTATTCAATTAAGAGGATGTCAGTGCACTATTTGTTTTCTCTCTCTGCCCCAAGCGCAACATATCAAATTTCAAGTTCACATAAATGATTATAACCATAATAATTTCTAAGATTAAAGTGAAAAGACCTATAATAAAATTTAAAGGTATTATTACTATCTAAGGCATCTCATAGGCTTTTTATTAAATTTTAATTATAAAGCGAGTTATGAGTATTTTAAAATTGTAAATTGTTTGTATATCTTAAAATACTCTTTGACTCGTTTTAAAATTATAATATAATAAATCACCTATGAGAAACCCTAGAATGATAAAAGATAATAATTTTTCTTTTAGTTTTAGAAGAGGTAATTTCCCTCTAATTTTAAAAATGATTATGATTATAATCATTATTGTGAACGTGAAATTTGAATTTGCGAGTGGGTCAGAGAGAGAAAACAAATGGTTCACTGACATCCTCTTAATGAATAAATCGTTTTTTTAACTTTTTATTTTGGTTAATAATTTTTAATTTATTATCCATGTTATTATTACATAATATATAGTACTATCTTGTCGTTAAAAATAATATTAACAGGTTGACATTTAATTTAAAGCTTTTTTTATTCAATAAAAAGTTACACAAAAAAAAAAAAAACATGAGAAAACCAGCAGTTCAAACATGTTGATAATGATAATGTAATGACAAATGAGCTTAAATTCTATAGTTACTTATAATTAAATATAATAAAATAAACCACAAAAAAAAAAAATTATTTAAGTGAGATAAAAATCATAAAAATAATTTTAAAAAATACTTAATAATTTCAATACATTTACTGTTGAGTCAAGATAATTTTTAAATACCTTTATGTGAGTTTATACATAAAAAAAATTGATTCTTAAATCAAATTCAAAAAGAAAAAAAACCTTTGAAATATTCAGTAATTGTTTAACAATGTTTTTATTAATACTATTTAAACATAACAAAATCATTTATTATGAAACTAATAGGAATATACAAATATTTAACAAGTTTTTGTTTTAAGAAAAAATGAAAACAAAAATAAAAATAAGTTAACAGAAATATAATATAAGGACAAAATTATTTTGGTGTCAACATAAAAGTTAAACTTCACTTAATGTATATCTTTAAATTGTCCAATTTTTTTTTTTTTTTTGTTGGTAAAAACACCGTACTATAAATTTCTGTTGTTTTGATTTCTTAGTTTTGTTTTATGCTGATGAAACTATTCATCTATCTTCTCGTCTGTAAAAAAAAACATTCAATATTATTAATTATTCACTATTATATAATAGATTTATTAAAATATTAAATGATTAACTTAAGAAAAATTATTAATTATTGTATAATACAGATACATAAACGTAATATTATATTTTCAATATAAAATGTATTTCTTCATTGATTACTCGTTTCTTACTTTACAATATTATCGAATTATTATTATTATTATAGTTTTCTATTTTGTTATTAGTAGTATTTATTATGTTATCTTTATGACTTTATTTTCCGTTTAATCGACAACCGGTCGGTACCTGCTTAATATCTACATTATATCAGGTAATGTAAGAACAATAGATAAATTTACAAATAGTGAACGAATTTGTGTAGTGTATATTACTGACTACTGTTAGTTTACTGATAATTTGATTTAGTATTTGCTGGTCACTGTTTAAGGCAGGTGCGCAGCTTTCTGTTTTTTCCGTTAAATACTACGGAAATAGTTGAAGACATTAAAGATTTTAAACAAGCAGCTTTATCAATTTTGCCAAGTATTGAATCAGTAAAGTTTTTGGATTTATTACAAGTGATTCACGATTATAAGATAAAAGAATTGTATCCAAATATTGAAATTGTTATAAGGATTTTTCTCTCAATGTCCGTCACAACAGCTTCATGTGAAAGAAGCTCTAGCAAACTTAAATTGATAAAAACATACTTAAGATCTACAATGGTTCAGGAGAGATTATCAAGCACGGTCATACTTTCTATAGAAACAGAAATCGCTAGTAAATTAGATTATGATGAAGTTATTGACAAATTTGCTGACACAAAAGCAAGAAAAATTAATTTGTAAATAATAATTGATTGTATTTTAATTTTATTATTACTAACTATTATTATGAAATATCTAATAATTTGCAAATATCAAATTTATATGTTTACTATAGTATAATAAGATGATAATTAAATAATTTATAATTATATACTTGTGGCTAAAAATGTTATTTCTTGTTGCTCGAAACCTCATTAAAATTTTTCAGATTTTTCCAAATCGTATTAAAAAATAAATATTAAAAACTGTAAGTGTGTCAATCCCAAAACCTAGGGGACATATTGCTTCAGTTTTGCCTCAGGATAAAAAATGGCTCGGTACGGCTCTGCCCTTAACTACACACGCTGGTGTATTTCGTACACCAATATTTTTGTTTATCTTGTTTTATTTTGGTTTTTATTTGTTTTCAGTTATTCTCCTAATCTAACCTTTTCTTATCTAATATGTAATAGAATATTATAAATCCATTTCAGTCGTCATTCGATGTTTGTAGTTGCACAAACAAGCTCTGTTTTAAAATATTTTTGTATCAGTGAACGAAATATACCAGGCGTGTATTACTTTTATCTATTATAATATAGTAATAACAAAATTTTTTTATTAAATTTTTTATTATAATTAAATTTAAAACAATATTAAGTAGTACTTTGTTCTTTTATTAGTAAATAAAGTCAAATATATATAGGTACAATACGACATTGATTTCTGTATAAGCCAAATTGGTGTATAAAATACACCACGGGTGCAATTATTGAAAAAAAAATGGCGCGTGTAGCTAAGGAAGTAAATATTATGTATTCCAATTACTAACAGGCTTTAAAAAGATAAATTAATAAATAAATAAATGAATATATACCTGTTTTGCCTTGACCTCCAACGATTAAGCAAGCTTTGACATACTTTCGATGAAATTTGTGCTTCAAAAGTTGAGTTGGAGTATGACATACTGAAAATGGTTTCATTCTTCTAGATGCTGACAATTCTGTCAATTGTTGACGAAAATCCTTGTCATTGATTAAATCACGTCCAAAATTGGATTTTGGCCCAGAAGAGTTATGACCAGCCTTTTTTTCCTTGCTATAGATTGTGCCTTTTCTAGTCATACTCTCATTGAGATTTACTTCAGCTTCCGTTGACAAATTTGTTAAAATATTTCTCCAGGTTTTTGGAATACCATTTGTTTCTACACATGCACGAAACAAATTAGCTGGAGATCCTTCAGCGATTGGACCAATTAAATGGTATAATCCATTATCTGTTTTGACAATCTGTTTTGTCTTACGAACTACCAAAATACCAGCTTTATGAACTTTCTTCAATTCTGTGGTTTGATCTCCTGCTAATAAAGTACCTAGAAAACAAAAATAAAATTATAAAAATATGTACAAAAAAAAAAAATACACTAGGTATTTAAGATACAGTTAAAGTAAAATAAAAGATATTATACACATTTTTATTTTTATTTTATATTTCTTTAATTTTGTTACATAAAATCTTGAAATATAGAAATTAATAAAATGCGGGATAAAATATATCATGTAAATTAGGTAAAATATAAAGATTTTTGTTCGCTATTTTGATGGGGAAGCTGAATTGTCTATAAAATTATTTTATAATTAATAAGTTATTACTTTTTATAGTACATTTTTATATGAATTCGTTAAGAGGACGTTGCACCCGCCCTGAATGTGTTGTCTCCGTCTTTCACACTTACAACAAAGGACATTTTTGTTTGCTAGTTTCAATAGGGTGCTGTCAGTTTTAATATTAGAAAGAATTGACCTATTAACAAACTTTTAGGTACCTAACAATATTATCTGTGTTCTCTTGTTAGTTTTTGATAATATTTTAATTTTTAAGTGAGTTATGAGCATTTTCAAATATTAATATTTTACATACTGATAACTCACTTAAAAATTAAAATATCGCAAAAAAACTAAAGGGAGAACACAGATAATGTTGTTACCTAAAAGTTTGATAATAGGTCAATTCACTTTAATATCAAAAATGACAGCACCCTATTAAAACTAGCAAAGAAAATTTGCTATGTTGTACGTGTGTAAGACGGAGACAACACATGCGGGTGCAAAGTCCTCTTAATAGTTGTCACTTGTTCATTAACCCTTTGATTGGTATTGACGTAATTAGGAACATTTCTAGGAACATTCCTACAGAGGAAAAAATGTGTGTAGGGTAAAGAGTATTATGGGCAATTTAATTATACAGTGAATCCAGATTTCATGGAAACACATTATATTAATTAAAAACAAATGAAATATGTGAATGTTACGCCTTTCCTTCCACCAACTGTGAAATACATATTATGATGTAAGTATATGACATAGGTCATTATTACGGTTATCTACTCAGGTTTGAGCATATGCTGCCTGTGTATGTCAATAGTCTATACAGTGAACGTAGGGTACTATTAGCGCTAGTAGTTAGTAGTCACAAGGTCTGTTTGTCTGCACTCTGCGCATATCAATACTTGATGTTAAAATATACAAATCTTATTTATCTTAAAATACTCAGGTACAATGGGTTTTCAAAATGTGTTACCTACTTACTAACAATTCCATACCAACCAAATATTAAAAAATAATCTGTTTTTAATATTTTACTTTTTTGTTTGTCAATTTAAATATGAATGAGCGAATTGTATATTATACAATAACAGGGCTGGAAGCTATTAAAAAAGTGTCTAAGTGACTGCATTTATTCATATATGTGATAAAAAAGTGACCTGCATAAATTTGTTTCATGAAAGCTTACCAGTTATTAAACATTTGTCTTTGAATCTCTACATAGGTATGTATTGATTTAATTGATTCTAACTTACTTAATTTTGTAGAAATTACAAAATATAATGATTATAATAAACACAAATTTTAATAGCAAATAATTAAATCATATTACCTATTTCAATTAATAATGTTTATAATATAGAATAATATTCAAGATCATTGTTTAGGAACTTCCTTTATTTTAATCATAAGTACAAAACACACCTATGGTTTGTTATAATAGGAATTCATCCTGGATGGTTTTTCAAATATAGTATACTAATAAATATATACAAAATTACTATAGATCCTTATAATTTGAAGTTTGATTAGGAACATTACATAAAAACAAAGTTTTTGGTAAATTAATATGTTATATGTACCTATACCTGCCTATAAACAGGCCTCTTTCACAGCCGTAAGTCATAACACAAGAAAGAGGTGTACTTAATTATAATATTACATTTTTATTATAATTATATAGATACTATAATTGTATTTATTATTGATTATTGTATTACATTTTATTATTTTGGACTTGTATTAAATTAAATGTTATTATATTTTAATATGTGATTTAAGTAAGTAATTAACATTTTTTATGATATTAGGTACCTATATAATTTTTATGTAACTTTAATGTATTTTTCAATACAATTTTAATATATTTATACTTCAGCTTTGATATATTTTTATTCATTTTTATCTGGACTTTTTTTCCACGATTCCTGCATGTTACTGTACATTTAAATATGAAGTTGGTCGCCATATGCAATTCAAATTTAAATTTAGATACATTTTTAAAATAAATGACATAAGTCACTTATTTTCTAAATAAGTGACTTAAAGTCACAAACATGTTCAGTGGGGCCCATTATCTTCTTGAAGAATAAATAAAAATAAAATAAAAAAAGGTGCTCTGCTGTACAGTAGGTTACAGTGGATCACTGTATAATGGATAGTATTAAATTTGAATTCAATGATATAATATCATTGTATAAGAAAAACGATTCTGACCGGAGACGGTATGTCAGTCTAGGTATAAGACATATTATATATATATATATATATATAAAAAATTTACATAAATAGGTAAATACAATAAATTCCAAATTAATCATATCACAATATCCATTAGGTACTTATAACGCGTTATACATCAACAAAAACAGTGATACTATCATAGATATATAATAGTACACTTTAGAATTTTCAAGTACCCACGAATAATATTATTCAATCACAACAAAATAACTAAAATAGTTATTCTAGGTTTTTTTTTATGTAATTTCGTCCAAATTTGAATTTAAAATGTCTGTAAAAAATAACTGTGTTCATATATTTTTTAGATTTTTTGGGTACAGTATGAACTATTTATGAGAATCTTTGTTTTAAATTTGCCATCCTTAGCTATAAAAACTGAACATTTTATAATTTATTAATTACGTCAACAAAAAACCCTGATACTATCATAGTCCATACTCCATAGATATAATAAAATAGTGTAGGTACTTTAGAAGTTTCAAGTACCCACGAATAATATTACACATCACAACAAAATGACTAAAATAGTTAGTCTAGGTTTTTTATTTGTAATTTTTTCCAAAGTTGAAATTAAAATGACTATAAAAATAAACTGTGCTTATGTAGTTATGTTTTTTAAATTTTTTGGTAACAGAATTAACTACTTCCGTGGCATCTTGTTTTAAATTTTCAATCCTTAGATATAAAAGTTGAACATTTTATACATTTTTAACTACAAAATAATTATTCAATTTTAAATTTGATAAATTTCGTCAAAATTCAATATTTAAATGCTTATAAAAATAAATTGTGTATATGTATTTTTAATATTTTTCAACTGATATTGTAACAATATATCAGGAGCCTTGTATTCAATTTTTACACTTTTTGGCCCAACAGATAAAACTTTATTGATATTTATAGAATAAAAAACTAAAAAAATTGAAAACTGAAAATGTCCGTAAACAGCTAAAAAAGAGTCAAAATATTTTCAAAACTGTATGGTGTATAGGAAATACTAATATATTCAATGAAATTTTTATGTATCCACAGTTATTTGTTTTTGAATTACAATAATATAAGAAAATCGCTACATGAGAAATCGAGTGAATATCCAATGTTGTAAAAATTTGAATTTCAAACGCTCATAAAAATTTAATTTGAATTTCTTATAGATATTTATTTCTTGATAAAGGTAGATAATCTCATAAGGAATCTTGTATTACATTTTAAAACCTTAGATTTAAGAAGAAAAATTTTTACGAATTCTTCACTCAAAATAATTTGCTAATTTTCGTGATTTTTCAATATTTTGTCAATTTTTGAACTTTAAATGCTTATAAAAAAAAACTGTCACTAAGGATTTTTAATATTTTTCAAATGAAAATGTAGCAATATAGCAGGAGCCTTGTATTAAATTTTCAAGCTTTTTTAACAAACAAATACAATTGTATTGATATTTTTAGAAAAAAAACTAAAAAAAAATGTAAAATGAAAATGTGCTTAAAGAGTTCAAAATAAATCAAAACATTTTGAAAATTTTATCGTGTATTGAAAATGCATTCAGTCAAAATTCCATGTACCTACGGTCATTTGTTTAAGAGTTGCACCAAAAACCAAAATCGATTTTTTCGAAAACAGATTTAGTGTAAAAATTCCCGTTTTTCCTTAATTTTTATTTTGTTTTTCACGTTACTTTTGAAAACTACAGTGAAATTTTCACTTTTGACCCCCCAAAGTACCAACTAGATTCACTTTCCTATCAGAAAAGCTACTGTTGAAGAAAATCCAAGCACTTTTACTGTCCTATAACGTGATGACAGACACAAAAAAAAATTAAAAATTAAAAAAAAAACACACATCATTGTAAAATCAATACATTCATCGTTTCACTCAGAATCTAAAAGTCACTTACTTCCAGCCCTGCAATAAGTATGTTTATTACCTAATTGGAAAGTCAGTAGCTCTAATTTTAAGCCAAAAGCAGTTTTTTTTAAATTTAATATATGACTAATACTATTAGCCATGTAGGTAATAATAATAATAATAATAATATAGCATGGACTAAGAAAAAAATTCCATAAAAGTTGTTTTGTAAAGTTATTTTTTAATGATATGGAGAAAAAAAACAATTTTGAAATCAGTTAAATTTTTAAAAAATGACAACAACTTATATTTTCAAAAATATAGTATAATTAGGTAGGTATTGTAAAATTATGTTTTCTTTTCACTTTTCACACTTCGATAACTAATGCTTATTCAAAGAAAATAAATAGAGACCGGAATTATTACATGCACTAAAAAGGTGCTAAATATGGTGCAAATATAAGTGAGAAAAATCACAAAATATGCTCCTATATGCACAAAAATATGCAGTATATACTATATTCGTTAAAAATTTGAGAAAAAAAAAAAAAAAAAAGTTAATACATTTTTTAAATCTAAGCTACAGAGTAATATTAATACAGACTGTATTGCCAAATAAATGATCTATAAAATAAATAAAAACTTTACCTAAATCACATTTTAACCAAAAAAATTATACACCTATGTCTCAACCTATGTATTAGTTTTATATTATTATTATACTTAGTTCAGTGGGTTCAATTAAAAATCCCTCAAAAACTGAGGTAGTAACTATGTTATTATTTCTCGAGTTATTTCTTTTCTATTCTTGGAGCATCATAGTTGTTACAAATACAGTATTATGCTAAATTATGTTAAATAAAAAAATATAAATATTGATTATCAAATTATTTCTGTGATTATTTTATTTTGTTGATTAACATACTAATTCTGGATTTTACTTTAATAAGGATCAAAGAAAGATTAAAAATTATTTTTTTATTAAAAGTGTATACAATAATGTATATTATACAAATTATATGCTTTAACCCCTCAAATATACATAACTTAACAATAGAATTTTCCAATTTTATATTTAGGTAATTAGGTGTAACTACAGAGAAAGTAGAATTGATTACTAAGGTATATTATTAAAAACTTTGTAGATAATATAACTTAAATTTTTTTTAAATCAGTCACCTAACCTAATTGAACCGGTGAAGGTTTCCTTTTTGTTTATAATTATTGGAAAATAAATAGGTACCTATTTATTATTTAATCTCTTCACTAGGTACCTATAACATTTTTAAATATATAATAATATATAATATATCTTTTATAGCTATATTTTATTAAAACTATAATAGCTGTGATTGTGCCAAATAAGAAAAATAAAGTTTAATTTTTATTTATTAATGGTTTTTACATTCAAGTATTTATTTGTGTAAATCATACAGAATATTATAATCGCTAAAATCGTTGTATTCTAGTAAAAATAAATTATTTTCTGTACATATAGTATCATCTACATAAAAATAAGGGCTGTAGTTAATCTTTAATTACATAAAGCGTTCGGGGAAATCATGCACACTAATGATCAGTCACAAAACACACAGTCACACATTAATAAAAAAATAAAAATGCTCATAACTCTCTCAACAACTGAATTATCATTAAAAAAAACTCAATTACAAACACAGAATCTGTTAATATCGAGGTTAATGTTGTTATACTACCTATCAAGTTTTATAATAAGTCAATTTACCTACTATATTTTTTAAACTAACAAAGCTTAACATGAGCTGCCATGTTACGCACTTGTAAGACAGAAACAACAAAATAAAAAACAAACATTAGACCGATATACAACACTTTCCCTTACTTATATACTATTGTTTCATAATTAATACCTAATTAAAAATTTTATTTTTAATAACTTTTGTGATAATTATAAATAATAAATGGTCAATAAAAATTTATCCATTCAATTATTTTATTTTATTAACTTTAATTTATATGGCTAGAACAAATTGTTTTTGTGTACCTAGTCATAAAATCATTTTATCCCTAAAACCTCAATATTTATCAAGTCAGGTCCTATGTATCAATAAAAAAACACTACAAATAAAAATGTACATCTCAATTACCTGTTAATGTGATGACTGACTTTGAATTGCCCTTGTTTGATTTAATTTGCTTTGTATTTACTGACCACTCGGTTAAGTACTTCACTTTACTTTTTTCCAAACTTCCTACTGAACGATTTGACTGATCTGGACTAAGTTGAGATCCGCTGGTATTGTCACTACTATTTGGTATCTGAACAGACTCGACTAATTCAGAATCAATTTCCATTGTGTCGACATCATTTCCATTGTTTAAGGTGGTAGGTAATGCATTATCATTTTGTGATGACACAGAATATAGTTTTTGCGCAGTTGGTGGTAGAAATTCTGGTTGTTGAGTACCTTCTTGAGCAGTGTCATTGATTAAACTTTCTTCAATAATTGTGTCACAAAAGTTCATTGTTCTATTAAGAATATTGTTCGACTGGCTGTTACGTGTCAAAGTCATTTTGGGTATATATTCAGGAACCGATGGTCGTTTAAATGCATTTGGGGGTTCACCTGTGTTGTCTACCTGTGACCCACCATCTTCCGTTGGTTTACTCGACAGTTGTGCACCATTATCGGAAGGCATGTGCATTGTGTGACGTGTGTGGTTTGTGCCATTGCGCTGTCCATCTTTAGTGATGTGTTTAATACGCCTTAAGAATAAATTGAATTCGGATTCAAATTTACTGAAAGAATGCACTTGCAAAAATTGATCCATTATATCTCGCAATTGTTCACTCTTCTCTTCAATAATATCATTGAATAGTAGCGTTTCGATGGGCGGTTGTACCATCTGTTGCAGTTGGAATGTCGAGCTCGACGCTGTCCTCTGGTTCGCCATCTTTAAAAACCGATTCACAATATTATTGTATGTTGACGATATGAGAAAACAGTACGCGTCGGGGAATAATGCAACACAACAACACCGTTTGTTTAACACGAACGAAACAAACAAAACGACCAAACGAAATAAACAAACACGGACAAGTGACGTCGGTTTACAGTAATAATAATCGTTCTTCGTTCACATAACAGAATAGTGGACTCCAAACAATGAATATCGAACGCGTCTGATTAAGTCGCATCATACACAACCTGCCAATTCAAACGTCGAATTTCAAATGAAAACAGCCGAATGGCCGCCGTTGTTATCACGGTACCCAGCATAACACGACGGTAACCGCCATGAACCACAGTACCGTTTACCTCCGACCACGGTTTAAGATATACCTAAATTAAACCGTGGTACTGGGTAATGGGTACCTCCATGCACAACAAACTTATAATATTATAATAATAATCAATAAAAATCATTAAAACAATATTGATCTTCAATTCCATTTGTCTAATGTTAATGGGTACCTCCATGCACAACAAAATTATAATAATAATCAATAGAAATTACTAGAACAATATTGATTTTCAATTCCATTTGTCTAATGTATACAAATGTATGAATAATGAATATTTTAATCACGAATTAACATAATAAAAATAATATAAAAGTTCGTAGTTTGAATCTTGTTGATTTTATCCAATTTATCTCTTATGACATCAGCCTGCTGTTGGCATTGTTCAGGGAACATTTCCTTCGAAACTCTCCAATATAAAGTATAAACATCTCAAGCCATAGGACAAATTATTATAATAGTAGTATGTGGTGGAGGTAATATTTGTATGCAACCAATAAAACCTGATAAAAAAAGTCAAAATAGGTAGGTAAATATTTATGTTGTTGTTTTTTCCAAAATGTTTTAAAAAACTTAAATTGTTTTAACAAATAGTTTTCATTAAAAATTAATTTAAAAAAATTGGATCATAATATAAAAACGAAAATATGAACGAAATAGAGGAACTAAAACAATTCAAGAGAAATAGACTGGAGTATATATGGGCATATACAAAAAAATCAATGCATCAAAAATTGTTTACCTATTAATTATTATATTATTATCTCATTTATTAAGATTTACGACGTTGACGACGTTCTCTTATCACGATTTACGAATTATTGGACGGATTGAATATATTCCCCGCAGAATAATGAATCATTAGATGCCAATTATTATAGTAGCCATTAGTTGAATCGCCAGACGTCCGTTTATATATTAGAAACCATTTTGCGAGGGTAGAAACCACACAGTCTGTAATCCTATGGTGGCTACTTGCCTATAAAAAAAATATAGCGAGACACCAAATGTTTACACAATATATAGAAGATAATATTTTCTGAGTTGTTGCGTTTTTATTTGTTTGCTATTATTAATAAGAAAAAAGTTGTTTGTTTAGAAAATCCGATGTTTTTACGTTTTACAAACTTAAATAACTTTTGATGGTCTCATTGGAAAAATAATAACGCTAGGAGACAATTTAAATTCTCCTCTATTGAATTTCAGAATGTGAAACATTGGTTTCCTAGTTATAAGTTATCAGTGACAGCGGGATACAGGATTATTTGAAGCAATTGCTTCATGTCTGAAATGGGTGGGTGGGTTTATAAATATATTATATATAATCGTAAGACCTCGACACAAATATCATGGCAAATATTATAATTAATAATTATTAATGGCCCCTACTGCTAATTTGGTTCAATGAAGGGTGCGGTGGTAAAAATTTTTAAAATACCTATACAATATGCTTCAAAGACTCCACGATTTCGCGCGGCCACTGCTGGTTATAACTTATAACAGTAGCCTGCTGGCCTTCTCAGAGACAGTTTTTATGTAAACATTATTTAAACTACCTACCTACAGTACCTATAAAAAAATTAGTACGGTCGTTACGAAAGCGAATATGATTTCCCCAATAATTTATTCCCGCATCCGACTCGCTAGCCGCTGCCCAGCTTAATAAAACGTTCTCTGAATGACGGCAACGCAAATACCTACCTACTAGATTTCATATAATATTTATAATAATAATAATAATAATAGTAATAATAATAATAGTTTTATGGTTTTCAAAATTAAATTTTATACCATTGATTAAAAAATACTAGTTAATACTAGTAGGTATTTATAATCAATGATTATAGTAGGACAGTAGGTACCTACCTACACTAATTGTGTACGTCCAATGTCGATAACGTCGTGTGAATGACCACAATATTATTGTCTACAAGCGATCATATTATTATTTATAAAATTACGATTATTGGACAGCGTATGATTTAAAACTAATTTTAAAAATGTAAATATACCAAAACACATTGATTATTATCAATAAAGTCTGTGAGTAGGTAAATATAAAAATGGGAAATATTATGTACTTCTTATTCTTAAAATGCATTAATATCAAAATATGCAAAAATATTTATTAAATACCGGTACTTTATATTTTATTTAGGTTGTTATGAAACAAGCTCATTTTAATTTTAATCAAAATTGAGAGATCTATTCAATAAAAATATCTATTTACATAAAAATCCATGCCCTACTAATAAGTTTTTATCTATACAATCTTTAAAATAGTTATTTTAAAATTTTTTTAAAATTTAAATAAATATATATCTTACAATTAATCACAATAACTGTTGTACGTGTTGTGTAGGTATAGATAAAAACATTTTTGTGCAATAAATGCTAATTTTCTTTTAGTAGGTAGGTCGTAGGTACCTTTCTAAGTGGGCTAGGTAGTTGATATATGAAAGTCTACTGAACTCCAGATAAATAAATTAAACCTAGACTGTACATACCTATCATTAATCAACAATAAAATAATTTATTAAATTAATTAATTTTAAATATTGTTATTAGTGTTATCAGTTCATTGTTCATATAAAAAAGTAGTAAGCCGCTGTGCTATAGAGTAGGTGTCAACTGTCAAGTACTCAAGTGTCACTCGTCATTGAGTATGTATTGTAATGGATGTGTTAAATTTAAACTTAATGAGAAATCAAGTATTAAATACTATCAACTTTTATTTGAATACATTTTAAATACTATTTTACAGTAGGTGTAGAATATTTTATTTTTAGATACCTACATACTTTTCTTTCTACTTTCTAATTCTTTTTAACTAGCTACTATTTAGTAATATAATAAAAATGAATAAGCAATAATATTTAACTAGGTAGGTATTTAAATATAAAAAAATTTCAGTTTTCTCAAAATGTCAATGATATTCTGTATGTTGTATGAAATAGCTGCTAGGTACTTATATTGAACGTTTAATTTTTCATAAGAATTAATTTTAAATTTTCATATTTTAAAAGTTAAATAAAAGTTTTCTTTCAATACCTACATCTTCAATCTTCACTTAAGTCTCTAATACTTTTTCAAAAATTGTTTTGTATGATTGTATGTATTTGGATGTTTGAAGTTTTTTCCATTCATAGACACAATATTTTATATAATACTAATCTTATACAACTTCAAATATCAATTGCATAATATTATGTAGGTAATTATTTTTAAGATATTTGTTAAAACATTAAAATGGTACCTATATTTTGTTATTATTATAACCTTAGTAAATATAAAACTTAAAGTAAATTGTTGTTTGTTTTAGAATAAAATTACATCTTACAAGTAATATTATAAATACATAAGCGTTGCAATAGTGACATATTATAATCATAATGGCTGCAGTTTTTTTAATTTAATATATCTATGAAAATACTGTGTTGACGAACCTAACCTAACCTTTTTTTTTAATATAGTGTAGTTTTTTTTGGAAGACAGAAATTTATATAAAATGCATTCTAGCTTTGTCTCTCTTCGACTCTTATGGAAAATAAAATTGGAGAGAGTGAGAGGTCCAATGTGTTGAATAATTGCATCAAATTTTTATATTATAAATATGTACAGATTTCATCTTGATACAAATGATTTAAACTGGCCTTCTGTTTAACTAAGTACAGTCCATTTGAACATTGTCTACAAGTAAATGGCTGTTAAGGTTTATTTATCTGTTTGTACTAATAGTAATAAGTTCAACAATTTCCAATATGTATTTAATATTTATAATATATTTTATAACAATATATAAAAATTATAAAAATAAAAATAATGTTTATTTAATAATGATATTAGACTCAGTTTTAAATTAAGTGTGTGTCCAATAAATCAGGTAGGTACCTATAGGTACTTATAAGTTAGATAAGATAAAATTATTATTGCAGACTGCAATGTATGTATAAAAATCTATTAATTCTGCAGATAGATGAAATATAGATAGGTACAAATTGATAATTTTTAGAGATTAAATTATACATTAGACAAAAAAATATTAATTATGAATTAAAATGCATTTTAATAATGTATATGCTTGGGTGTTAACCGAATATTATGCAAAACGATGAGAAAGGTCAAACAATTTTGTTAATAAATTAAATTCCTATTCATATGAAATTGGATGAAGGTTTTTAATTGATGTGGAATATGAACATGATAATAATATGAAAAATTAAATCTTTAGTTATAATTATTATCACTTTTTAATAGTAAGCAGTAATTAAGCAATAATAAGCATTGAAATTTATCCTATAAAAACTAGTTTAAATGAAAATACTAAGTTTATTTATTCATGTTAATTCAAATAACAGCCCTGGGGCCCAAAGCATAACAATTTAACAAAAGTTAAAATTAATAATAATATAATATATATATAACTACAAACATAATTATAGAATAGGTATATCAAATATGGAATAGACATAGACTCATGTATGGGATATTCGGCTGGTTTGTTAAGATTTGCTATTTGCAGAATGAAAATCCCCCTACTCTAGGAAAAAAGATTCTCTGACCACAATATTACTCTCATGTCACAACCCCATGAAAATTATTGAACAAATATTTTTTAAACGCTAATAATTAATATAATTATTAATTACCA